TTTCCGTTGTTCTTTAATATTTGACGAATACAAAAGCAATCAACAATCAATTGAAATTACATTAGTTAGTAGCGTTGCGATTTATTATGTAACTCTTTACAGAAAGCAAAAGTATTCCTATTTGGAACCATATGCCAAATATAAAAATATTTTAAACGATAACAATCGATGATAACGTTTACATTAGTATTAAATTTAGAGAAATTTACGGTTTTCTCGGTTTAAATTCGAGTTGGAGTGATCGACTAGGATTAAGACTAATTCTAAACTTAAGTTGGGTAATTTTTTCCACGTATCTTATCTTCATCTTTCTTAAGATAGTTGCCAGAATCAGTTTAATATTAATTTATATAGGCCATTAAATTATGGCCGATCGATTCCCTGTAAAAAATAATCGTATGCGTTAATCAAACTATAGACCTGTTAAATTGTCTATTTATCTTCTCGTATGCTGAAGTTTCTCACCCAGACACATCCTGGGTCCTGCCGAAAACGGGATGTAAGAGTAAGGTGGTCGTTTGGAAAAATTCTCAGGTAAAAATCTTTGAGGATTGAAAACGTTTGGATTTTCGAAGACATTTGGATTGCGATGAAGATGGTAAATAGAAACAACGAATATCCAGTCTTTGGAAAATTCTTTATCTCCTACAACAATGAATATTGAAATATTTATATTCGTTACAGTGAAATCATATAATACTACGTTTTAAGTTTCCACTTTTGATCTGAAAATGAATCTATTGTTTTCTAGGTCTTAAATTTTGCGAAACTTTTATTCACGAGTGCCAATGCCTTATTATTAGTTTATTTTCGATATTATCATAGATTACAGTACAGAAGAATAGTCAGTTAACCTTAAGTGTGTGGTTATAATATTTTTTTTGAAGTGCGAAGACCGAATGTCCATATCTACTCGATGTTCTCCCTGTAAAGATTTATGACTACTTTGCGGTGTTTTGATTCTTGGCTGTGACAAAAGTAACATGGACTTGACAAAGGTAATGAATATACTCTTATATATTGTTACTTTCGTATGTCCTACGTGTCATTAATTTAAGAATGTAATTAAAATTTTCAAATTTGAAGAATATGCAAAAATAAAATTTAAACGCATTTAACAACTCGAAACAAATCAAACAGATAATAGAAAAAAACAGACACACGAACACTACTCGAATACCCCAAAAATAATCAGGCAACAAGAAGAAATACAGATGCATAAACGATTTCTGTTCCCAATAAACGAATTTACACGCCCGTATGATATTTCGCGTATTTATATATTTATTTAATTAGTAATATTTATTGGTAAAACACTGCAATTTCATTTCTCATATATCGTATTTCTCACTCAAGTGCTCGTGTATTCAGAAGTTTTGGTATGAAAAAAAAATTAAATAAAACAAATTCGCGTATAATCAGGAATAATTATTCTTACCCAATCTTATAGATTTTTTGATTTTCCTAGAAAACACAGGAACAGTTGGGTAAAGTCTCATAGTCTCCTACAAAAAAATAATATAAATTTCATTATCCAAGCACATCAAAGTACACATTTCTCTGATAAAGTTAAATTAAGCGAAATTATAATTTAATAGTTATACGAGTTTAATAATTATTTGTAAAATAGGCAAGATGTTTGGAAGACATCTGAAAAAAGTAACGAAAATACTATCTATATAATACATCTATAATTACTAATAATGGGTAAACATTTCGCAACTTCTTTAATAAACTTTTGCTTACTCTGCTACGTTCTTGACAATTAAAACGTTTTAGTTTCGTGTCAAATTTGGCTCATCGAGTGTTTTGCATATCTACACGAACCCAAATATATAAACAACAATTTTGTGAATGTGTGTTGTGTGTGTGTGTGTGTTTTGGGATTTATTTCGTTTAATATCTTAAAATAAGCTGAAGATTAAGAAAGAAAATTTTAAATCGTAACTTTCGTATAACATAAATTAACACTATTAAATTTATTTAATTAAATGTTGAGCAAATGAGAATATAAAAGAGAATTATGTGTCGTATCTCGAGTGTCGTCGAACTTATGTTTTTTATAAATTATCTATCAAGTAGAACATAAGTGTGAGGAACCTTAAATAATTGATTGTTGGTGTTAAACTGGATACAAATTCTAAGGTTGAAATTACACTCCAAACACGATTTGTTCTGATTTTACAATTGGACACTGAAAAATCAACCAATATCCAACTAATAGTGTTTTATATTCAGCCTGATAACTATTTTTATAATGATTTTAAGAACATTTTTATCGCTTATACAAAACTGTTTCCTTAAAGGAACTCGATTTTATATGCTGATTTTAACGCTCGATTGGAATATTCTGATTATTTGTCAATTTTTACCGGTGACTGGCAAACTGCTTTAAGAGCATCGAAAGATATAACTGTTAATTATAGATAAAATATATTATATACATTCGTGAGATCAACAGACTTGTTTCTTTAATGGTCTTGTTAAACGGTTTACTGCCAGGATACGAAGAAAGTAATTTTACCGATCATTCAACAGAAAGAAACAGTATAGTTGATTTTTTGATAGTATCACAAGATATAGCCTATATTTTAGTTTTGTAAATGATTTAAGTGCTATAAAGGGGTAGGCTGAATTAATTCACCATATCTACTAACAGTGATCCTATTGATATAATCTAAACTTTTCAATAGGCTACTTATAAGTAAACATGTGATATGGAAGAATGAACTTAAATATTCATTGTATGTTAGATTAGATAATGTCCAATCAAATGAGTTTGGAGGAACTTACACCTGATGATCTGGTAGAATATATAGCTAAAGTAGCAATGTTTTTGGACTTAAATTACGACGTTAATTCTGTACCACGTAAACTTCATACAAGAAATAAACGGTATAATAATAAAAAACGGGATAAAAATAAGTTTTTTAAAAATATTTAAAATGTTTTTCAAGAAAATTCTTACAATATTAGAGGCTTTTAACTGTATTAAAAAAAGTTTAGTTTTCTAGAAGTTAAAAATGAATCTCTAATCATCGCAATGATCTAAAAAAGTATCGTCTTTTTTCCTTGCTTCCTGTAAATGGAAAACTATTCACATCCTTATTAAATACAAGACTAGAAGAATGGATACTTAAATATGAGTTTTTGTGTTAACAGAAAGCAGGTTCATGACCTGGCTGATCTTTTCAAGATCAAATACCATATTTACTCGCAAATAATAGTATATCTATACCGTATTTACTCGCAAAAACCTGTTGTTTCATTCGTTCTTGTATATTGTCAGAAGTAAAGATGAAGAGCAAAAGAAAAAGCAAAGCTTTTGAATTGAATTCCAGATTGAAATTATAAAATCACCCGGGAAAACGATATAAGTTTTAATCCATTCCCACGTAAAAACAAACGATTATTCGAAAATCAGAATTTAGAGAAACTTATAATTGTAATCGACGAAAATTGAATTCAACTGTTAAAAATTGGAGAAAAAGGTTCCTAATTGTCCAGCTTTACATGAAGAAATATTTTGTCAATTTACAAGAGTAAAAAATTAAATACAGACGATGTTTGTTTATTAATATAAAAGTGGATTTAAAGTTAACTTTTAAGAGTTAGAACTACTCTGGAAACTAAGGTTTATCGAGACAAGTAAAATTCTCCACGCTCTTTCTCTGGACTTTTCTGTTTATAGCCTTTATGCTTTGTGATTCAATATTAAAACCGCATCAAAGTGGTTACACTCATAAAACGTCGGAAGTATAATAAAATCCGCAAAATTAGTCATTTTAAGAACATATATAACGTGTGAGATTGTCTAATATTTGCCAGTATATAAAAATTAACTTACCAGTAAAAGTGTAAAAATTATAAATGCATTATAAATCTTATAATAATTACATATATATCATATAAAAGTAGTCATAAATACTCTTATTGTTAAAAATTGCCAACTTTTATCACACATTCCAAATACTTCATTTCGTGTAAATCTTTATTTGTAATAAATCGTTCGATGTCATTTTCAAATATGGCGTCCAACTCTTGGTGAACTTTTCTTTGAATATTTTCGTGTTGACTTAATAGGTATAATGACCAGCAGACGGTTAGTGCAGTTGTTTCGTATGCCTAATATTCAAAAAACATTATCAATACATTTTTTTAAATTTTTACGTGTAATACAAATTAATGCGTACAGATTAATAANTCTATTATTTATTCTCGGGAAAATAATAGAATCTATTAAGTCTCACTAGAGTCTATTATATAGACTTACTAGTCCTCCACTGTGAAAAACAACAATCTGCTAAACGCTTTATTACTTTGTTTTCAAAAACTTCCTTCTCTGTCAGATAAGGGTCAAATGGCTTACAAATTGTTTACTTCCACTCAGTGTCAAAAAACTTTATAAAATGATTTTAAAAATACCAATGGAAAAAATTAAATTATTTCCGGTCAAATTTCAGTGTTTTAGAAGTTAATCGCTTCATAATAACGAGATTATAAGCGAAGAAGCGCGCGCCGTAGCTGCAGCTATTTTTAGTAACAGCGACTGGCGGGAAATTTGAAAATTGAAATCCGAGATCACGCGCGCCATAGTGCCGATTCGGCACCAATAATTAAATAAAAATAATGAGACGCTTTAAGCANAGTTTTCTAGAAGTTAAAAATGAATCTCTAATCATCGCAATGATCTAAAAAAGTATCGTCTTTTTTCCTTGCTTCCTGTAAATGGAAAACTATTCACATCCTTATTAAATACAAGACTAGAAGAATGGATACTTAAATATGAGTTTTTGTGTTAACAGAAAGCAGGTTCATGACCTGGCTGATCTTTTCAAGATCAAATACCATATTTACTCGCAAATAATAGTATATCTATACCGTATTTACTCGCAAAAACCTGTTGTTTCATTCGTTCTTGTATATTGTCAGAAGTAAAGATGAAGAGCAAAAGAAAAAGCAAAGCTTTTGAATTGAATTCCAGATTGAAATTATAAAATCACCCGGGAAAACGATATAAGTTTTAATCCATTCCCACGTAAAAACAAACGATTATTCGAAAATCAGAATTTAGAGAAACTTATAATTGTAATCGACGAAAATTGAATTCAACTGTTAAAAATTGGAGAAAAAGGTTCCTAATTGTCCAGCTTTACATGAAGAAATATTTTGTCAATTTACAAGAGTAAAAAATTAAATACAGACGATGTTTGTTTATTAATATAAAAGTGGATTTAAAGTTAACTTTTAAGAGTTAGAACTACTCTGGAAACTAAGGTTTATCGAGACAAGTAAAATTCTCCACGCTCTTTCTCTGGACTTTTCTGTTTATAGCCTTTATGCTTTGTGATTCAATATTAAAACCGCATCAAAGTGGTTACACTCATAAAACGTCGGAAGTATAATAAAATCCGCAAAATTAGTCATTTTAAGAACATATATAACGTGTGAGATTGTCTAATATTTGCCAGTATATAAAAATTAACTTACCAGTAAAAGTGTAAAAATTATAAATGCATTATAAATCTTATAATAATTACATATATATCATATAAAAGTAGTCATAAATACTCTTATTGTTAAAAATTGCCAACTTTTATCACACATTCCAAATACTTCATTTCGTGTAAATCTTTATTTGTAATAAATCGTTCGATGTCATTTTCAAATATGGCGTCCAACTCTTGGTGAACTTTTCTTTGAATATTTTCGTGTTGACTTAATAGGTATAATGACCAGCAGACGGTTAGTGCAGTTGTTTCGTATGCCTAATATTCAAAAAACATTATCAATACATTTTTTTAAATTTTTACGTGTAATACAAATTAATGCGTACAGATTAATAATTTCTCTTTGATTCTACTTCGAACAAGAAAATAATGAAATATTTACACAAAGTATGTCATTTCCACTTGTTCGTATAATATGTATATAGTCTTATTGTGAATATATAGAAAAAAACAAAGAGACGATTCTTCGCATAATTTCAACACTAAAACCTCCGATAAACATGCGTTATAACGACATAATTTTAAAATTATAAAACAATTAATATGGTGGTTCATTTATAATGTCGACAGATTCCTGACTTCAGATTGTATCTGTCGACATTATCAATGGATCACCATATTATAAATACGAAATCGTATTGTCGCATCCTGTGAAATAACCACCTTTATTTTTGAGCGCATGTGCTAATAAATGTAGAAAACAGAGAGTTGCATATGACAGTTAACAGTAGTAAGTGCAGTAGAGCATCGATTATCCGACCGTTCTAGTCGGCAAATTACAAATGTCCGCTAGTGATGTGGCACTACAATATTTGCCTATGTCTGGGCTACTTTAATATTATTTGTGTTAAATTTTTGCGTGTTTTAGCTGGTAACACTGGCTCGACCATGAAAGGACAGCCAGTATTTAAACGAGACTTAATTTTTTAATTATAAGTGGTTGATTGTGAGCAATAAAATAATTTAAAAATAATTTTTAACGATACAATAGCGACGATTATTATTTTTTAAAAGAATATGTTAGGCTTAACATTGATGAAAATTCAACGCGAAGTTGGTTAATAGCGATATACTAATATACTAATTACATGAAATATACTAATATACCATACTAATAATGTATTTTTCTATATTTTTCGGTTATCCGTTTTTTTCAGTTATCCGACCGACCCCAGTCCCCAATTGAGTCGGATAATCGATGCTCTACTGTTTTAAGTTATTACAACAATGCCGTTTTATCTACGTTTGTGTGCCCAATTATGGATAAAATTATTTGGAAAAATGTCTTTTTAATATATTCAGAATGACTAGTATAAGCGTGGCGAAAATAATATCTATCGGGTTTAATGACTATTCAGTACGGAATGTATTACAGTATTATGAGTTAAATATAATTGCCGTGAAAATCGACGTGGTAAAAAAAAATAATAGAAGAAAGTAGACTGAAGTGCATACTGTCAACATCTGAATCATTCGGACCATTTCTCATTTAAATATATCATGAATAAAGTTTGGTAAATTATCTGGACTTTAGGATAAGTCAAACTCATCCATCAGTAAAAAATAAATTTATTTTGCATCCCTTAATAAACGAAACTATATTAAAATGAGCCGGTACTTTAACAGCTATTTTTTATTTATAATCGGCATTTTAACAACTTCACTATTATGCTTACAAAATGTAATTAACTAAGAAAAAATCTGCTAAGCTTCTATTCAATAATGGCTAATTAAAATAAGGGCAGAATATTCATTAATTTATGAATAACTATCGTACCAGATGATTGAATTCTTGGGTTCAAAATATTAAATAAAAAATATATTCCACTTACAGCACCAAGAAAAAACTCGATTTCTTCACAGACACTCTCAATAGTGAATTCTGGATTTTTATCTCTAGCATCCAAGAGAAAGTCCAACAGAGATTTTGGATTTCCATTATTTTCGATATTGTTTTGTTCCTCTTTACGTAGTCGGATTTTTTCAGCAATTATCTAGAAACAAAACTGAGGTTTAGAAAAATATTTCTATGTAATTTTTGTTGGAGAACAAGTTTTTTTACAAACCTCTTTTGTTAATATTCTTAAAGCTTTCTTGGTTGATTTAAACTCTCTTCCTTTTAATGTTAAATAAAAGAAGAAGTCGAACGACATCAGAAAGTTAATTGATCTATCAAGTACTGGCTTAAATGTTCTAAAAAATAAATAATTTATGAAATGTCGCATTTCAAATGTGAAATTATATTATCGCAATTGTAAATAGATAATATAATATTAACATTTCTTAAACTGCAATTCTCAAACATTGTTGTGCTGTAATTTTAAAAAAATTTTTAGACAAATCAAAATACAGTAGAGCGTCGATTTTCCGAATCAATTGGGGACTGGAGTTGTTCGTATAACTGATATTTCGGATAACTGATTTACGTACGAAAAAATAGTTTAACGTAACCGATGTCGAAATTTTTCTCCGTTGCGTGTCGCTTCGCGTTGAATTTTCGTCGATGTTAAGTTTAACGAAGACGTTAAAATCGTTAAAAATTATATTTTTAACGATTTTACTTGATAGATCAATTAACTTTCTGATGTCGTTCGACTTCTTCTTTTATTTAACATTAAAAGGAAGAGAGTTTAAATCAACCAAGAAAGCTTTAAGAATATTAACAAAAGAGGTTTGTAAAAAAACTTGTTTGACGTATCGTTAAAAATTATTTTTTTATTTTGTACAAACAAAATAAATATATTGAAAAATATAAAAACAATAAAAAAATTATACTTCAGATGTTAATTTAGTATCAAAAACGTAAAATATTTAAGTAGCCCAAGACATAGCCAAAGATTGAAGCGCCACAGCACTGGAGAAAATTCAAATTTGCCGACTGGAATTCTTTCGGATGATTGACGTTTCGGATGATTGACTTTCAGAAAATCGACGCTCTACTGTATCTAATGTTCCATATTCCTCTGTCCGTATTTTTCTGAATTTCGAAAAGTAATAAGTAGATAAATGCTGACACAAGGTATCCATTGTTTGGAAAACAGGATGCCCCTAAATAAAAAGTACATTTGGTAATTCTTATTTTCCGAAAGTCATGTAGTTTTCTGCAATGGCGGAATATTGAATGAGGTACAGGTGCAAGACACTACTAGTTTGAGATGGAGACAATATCTTTTAAACTAAGTAAATGAAAAATATAATTACAAATTGCAGCCTGGCATTGTGACAAAGTCACGATAAATAATTGCTCGTAGACCTATAAATTCTTACTAACGTACACTTCTGATGTCTATCTTCTCGTCTTTCATCTGGAGAAAAATGTTAGACAAATGAATATAAAAACTAAATTTGAAAATAATATGGGCAGGACATCTGTATTAACTACACAATAATGTCATGTTTGCTACAAAAATCGTATTATTTCAATTCACAAATTTTCCCGGAAAGGGAGTTATATGAATCATTGACATGATTCTATTCTTAAGAGAAAAAGCATGATGTACAGGCTCAAGACATTACCAAAATAAAGAACATTGTGAATAAAAATTGCATTCCGGCACTCTTACGATTTCAGAATAAACAGTTGCTCGTTATTTATATATAAATCAGATAATAAATCAATATCTATTTATAGCATAATAAGATTTTATATATAATACAATAATAAAAATATATACTGTAACCTTGGTGTTCCTTTATTGTTAATTATTTTATATAAGAAATGAAACTTTTTTTATTATTGTATGAAGCATTCATAGCTATAATGATAATATTAGAAAAAGGCTGAATCCAAATAATATAAAGACATCAAATCGCGGCTTTCTTATGATGTGCAACAATATTTCAATAAGGAAATCATTTTGAGCATCATATGAAGTGTTACTAAAATAGGTTATTGATAAAATAAAATAATTCTAGGTTCGTGATACAAATTTTATCAGTTGCATTAAGTGTAAGAGAGAAACAATACTGTTCATTTAAGAATTGAAACTAGACTAAGTTTGGCCCACCAGTGGGCAAGTGGTTTTATTCCCTTAACACTGAAATTTCAGTCGTGTGTTTATACCTCGCAGGACAGGCTGGCCACGTGGAGTTTTCCGGGTTTTCATCTACATCTGTAATGCTTGAAGAAAGACCAGTTAACCTTAAAAACACATCCAGGAATGCATCCCCAGGCAAGTTGTCCAAGAGTTGCGTTGCAACAAACAAACAAACCAGGCCGAGTGCTTACCAGTGCGAAGTGGCTAAAACAATCGAAGGCTAACTATCAGTTAGCCCTCGGTTGTTACCTCGAAGATAATTAACACGTGAAGTTTTCTGGGCATTTATTGCGTTCGTAACATTTAGAAGCAGTTTTCTGTGTCTTGGTAAAAAAGTATCTTTAAGCAGATCGCCTGTTTTTGACATTTTTGTACACAAAAATGAGACTGATCCCATTATTGTGTTGGGCTGCTTTCTTGCTTGGTATGGGGACATGCAGTGACGATTCCGAATAATAAACTATAGGTTATTTTGTGCATGTGTTACTGATTCGTGTGAATTCAAACATAAATTCTCTTTAATATTCCTAGTACAGTCGACCCCCCTATAAGATCATAGATACGTTCCATTTTTTAGGAATCCGAATTCTTACGAGTCGTTCCAATCACAGCTTGACACGTGTGAAGTTTACGGACTACTGCTGATTGAAAAGTTTTCTTCCATAAAATTAATCGATTCTAGACTAATCCGACTCAACATTTCCAAAATACGTATATTTTTTTTGGGGAATAATCCGTATAAACTACGCTATAAACAAAAAATTGTAGGATTACTTACCGAGTGTGCACCATTCGACCTCGCCATTGCTCAAGCTTGTTTTCGTCGCGGAACAGCTCAGCAAAACAGCGGCCGATTTCTAATAACTTATTTTTCTGCGAAAACTTCGTTAAACTTTGGAGACATCATTAATATAAATAATTTTAATCGCCGTTGAATAAGAAATGTTTTTTCACAAGAAATGTATAAAATTACAGTACTGTATTAGACTTACGGTACCTAATTTACATACTGTACAGACGATAGCTCGCCTAAACACTCCGTAGCGTTAGACGGCGGAAAGTATATATATAATTATAATAAAGTTACAATAAATCAAGTTAATATATAATTATATATACAGTACCAAATTTATATATAATTATATGTACAGTACCTAATTTATATATAATGTATATAATACTGTCCAGACGATAGTAATCCCTTCGTAGCGTGGCGCTAGACGGCGGAAAATAGTTCGGCTGCCCGATGACGTTTTACGTAATTATAGGAGTTTTTTACCGGTTTTTTACGGATACCGTTGCAATTTTTTCGCAGTTTTATAGGAATCGTAATTATAGGGAACAGTTTTATAGGGGGGTCGACTGTATTGTATTTTCTGTTTTTATAACTCGAAACAGTAAAGACAAAATGCAGAAAACAATTCGAAAGAATAATGTCTAAACCTTATTCGTATTTTTATAAAATTGCAGTGCTTTTAGTTCATGTTGGTTGTCTAAAAGAGATGCTACTTAGAAATTCACTGTTCAAAAATCGACTTTCAATGGGTACCATAAGAATCTTAGTACAAATTCACTAATCAGTAAGTGGACAAATATTTGATGAGAAAACAAGAAAACATTTTCTGAATCGAATATTGCACTTGCAGAGGAGAAAGTTATACATAATTAATTGCACTCCAATGTATTTAATAACACTTTCAAGTTGAGCGAGTCTTCTTGAATCCTTACAAATGCACAAGTATTGTGAAAAGGAGCGTGCTCAAAGGCTGACCAAAGGCACATTTTACATAGCCTTAAAAAGTGATTGAATGAAACAGAAGATTGCAAACATACTAAATGAATCATTAGCTTTGCTAAATATAAAGTGCAAATGAGAAATAGTAAAAACTATTTTGTAGAACTTCCAATAAACAGAGTCTGAGTAAAACAAGCAGAAATGTACTAGATCTATAACGTTTCTATGCGAGTTTAATAAAAATAGTTCTTTCTCTATCAGTTTGAGTGTTGTAGTGCATCTTGAAACGAATTTGAATTTACTCTGCGTTGAAAAAGTAATCGTTCGAATAGACAAAAGTATTCATACTACTTAGATTTTTCTTATGCATGTTAATGAGAATGTAGACTTGGGCTGCAATAAGTAGAGAAGGGAAGAGGGAACCACCTGTTAGACTTATATCAATACAACCTAACAATCAATTCAATGAATTGATTGCATTATTATTTTCAGACAAAATAATTTTCTTGTAAATAATAATTACTTCATATATGTAGTTAAAATACAATTGCTTACTAGAATTATGTATCAAAAAGTAGATATAAAATAGAAGAAATTCGAATCAAGTTACCTTATGCATTAAAATCTGTTTTATAAAAGTGATAGCAAAAAATCTACAGATCAAAAATAGCCTATTCAAAACTTTGTATTTTTTCCTTGTTTTAATATCGTTTGTACAGAAATGAAAACATCGAAAAATAAGTACTTACGCGTTTATTAATTTCTCATAGTAAAAACTTCTTTCTCTAAAGGTAGAACCGTCTTTAATGCCAAGAATTGTATCTGAAATAAAATTTATATATTAATAACATAAACAATATAAAAAACATTAAAAAATATATTTCAACAATTTTAATATTTATAATGTAATTTCTATTTATTTTTTTAATAATTAAAAAAACATTACAGCCTTTATAAATTTTATTGCCTACAATTTATATGAACAATCAATCCATCGTAAATCTTAATTTATACAATACTGTATAAATCAATCAGATAAGGTATAAAGTACATTCTACATACCATACAAAATATTAAATCCGCACATTTTAACAAGAGGTACTATAAAAACTTTCTCGTTTTCCATCAACACCTCAACTAATTTTCTGGCATTTTTCTCGATTATTGGAATAAATGAATGCAATGTTGTTAGGCGAAAGGCGGGCAACAATAATTTCTTCCTTTCTCTATAAGCTTCGTCACTTCTGAAAAATATTTCTGTATATTATACATCTTTTTGCAAGTTGCTTACAAGGGATCTTTATTCTAATTGTGATTTTATACATCAAGTTAATGTGAACTAATTGCATATAAAATAAATATAGTTTTAAAAAAGCTTTAGTTAATGAAATGAAATGCTAAATGTCGGTTTTAAGAGCTAAACACTCAAACGTATTCCAAATATTGAATTACAGTACCACCATCGATTATATTATTGCCTATTATTATGTAGACTTATGCAGAGCATTCAGAACTGTTACTTATTAGCACCATAAAATTAATATACTTTTTACATTGAACGTACGGGAATATATTGTGTGCTGCGAACTATATTAATTTGTATCCTAATGAGCTCACACGCAATAAATTTGAATGACTGACTCTTAGATGTTCGAGATTCCATGGTTACTTTTTTCAATTTTTGAATTGGACTTTGCAGTTTTTTATAGACTATATGTTTATTATAAACTGTAATTCTTTGGCCATAAAAGATGATTTTAATATATGACTCTTGCAACATAGGTTTGTATTATAACGCCATGCTGACTTTTTCGTATTTCCATTTAAGTGCAGATCACCTGATATCAACTGAGAAAAATAATTAATTGATTAAAATTTGTAACCAAAGTGTGCGACGATTGAGCTTGAATTAGCCATTCTCCATATTAAGATCACACCTTTCGAGCTAGATCATAAAGAAACGTTAAAAAGTTGCATTTTACTTCATTTTTTATATCTGTGTTTTGTTAATTTTTATGTTAAACGACTTTATTTAGACTAGAAAACGTCTTATCAGAAACGTTTAGCCGAAAATTTTGATACAAAACCCGTCACTTTCGGTTAATTACATAATTGCAGGAGAGAATCGACAAATCTTCTATTATAATTGATTATAGTAATATTTTTTCATATAACAGGTTAAATTCGCATTTTCGAAAACTTCTTAAAATATGTTGAGATCACCGGTAATATTGTATTATATAATTTTTCTATTTGAATTGTACCTTATTGCTGGATGGACAGAACGAATGGACTATCTTGGAAAAGGGTTGAAGTAATTCTACCACAAGAAGTAATTTTTAACCACTGCTGGTTTACTTCAATTAATACTGGTCTACTATTAATACTTGAAAAGTGATCTGTGTTGGACAGGTTCTGATGTGATTCACGTTGCTAACCTTATTGTTTGAAAGACTATGTATGAATTGTTTAACTAAAAAATCTATATATATATATATATATATAAATGGACGTGTGTGTCCCTATATTTCACTTTTTAGCCAAAACTATAGATCGCACATGAATGGTGTTTGCATGTTGTAATAGTCCCAAGTCTCCATTCGTGCACTATGGTGGTTGCGTCTCGATAGCTATAAGAGTGCGGGAGATATGGGGCTGAAAGTGGTTGAAAGTGGTTTTCTATTTCGATTTTAAAAATGTTCGAACCGTTTTAAATTCGAATTTGTTATTGCATATTGGTTCGATTATAGAACGATTGTAAACGTTCCAGAAACGTTGAAAATAGTTTGACTGGACGTGAACAGGAGACGTTCATAAATATAATCGGGACCAGGTCTCTAATTAGTCTGGAAACGGGGGGGCCTAATTCTTGCATTCTGTGAAAACGGGTAAGATTGGCTATAATGTAATTATCTTAATCTTCACTATCGTTACTTTTTGCCCACAAATAAAAACCCAGCGAAGCGGGTCCTTGCAGCTAGATTCTAGATTACTTAGAAAAACAGTCTTTTATATATATATATAAACTATATTACATAGAAATAAAAACCCAGCGAAGCGGGTCCTTGCAGCTAGTAATTAATAAAAATTCTAGAGTAATTTGTTTAGATGATAATACAGTGTTTAAATTTTTGCAACATATTGTATGAATTACTTGGGACGTATGTTCTAGTAAATATTGTGTCTATAGAAAGATTATTGGAGTGCCATTTGAAAAGTTGTAGACCTATAAATTCTGTTGTCCCATGTTATTCTGCTGTCTGCCTTTCCTTAATCTGGAAAAAAGTGTTAGATAGATGAATGCTAATACCAGAGATGATAAACATTAAGAGAAGGAGGTCATAATAACTGTATAGAAACTTCCGGTATGGAGCATAAGTAACGTTACTTCAGTTCAAAATTTTCCCACACAATGGCAAAAATTTTGAATCGAGTCAGGTTATTTCAATAGAAAAATTTTTCCCGCGAAAAATGTTAGCTACCTAACCAGCACAACCGTATATCTAACAGGAGAAATATGATGTACAAACGCAAAACACTACTATACTCCACGTAGGCAGGTTCTATGTGCTACCTGTCACAGTAAAGGTGCAATAGGCCAAGTGTAAATAAACGCTGAGAGTTAGATTGTAGGTACGCGCCTCACTTGGACAGGCTGCCCATGTGGAGTTTTTTAGGTTTTTTCCACATCCGTAACGCCTGAATAAGAGCCAGTCACTCTTAAAAGACCTAGGCAGATCGCCCAAGTGTTGAATTGCTGTAAATTAATAAACAAACAAACAAGGCGTAATGGCTCATCAATTTCATAGTAGTTCAATGAATATAATTTATATATTTTAATATGAAATTTTTTCTTCTGTAAAAATTATCCCGAACAAACAAACAAACAAACAAACAAACATTATACTTTTTATCTACAGATTTGATCATCTTAAAGAGTGATATGTTCGTGATAAAAAACAAAGCACATCGATTCAAACCTGATTTCTAAGGAAAATATCGCAAATAAATAATTAATACATTGGCAGTCGTAAATGTGCCCATTGATTTTCCAAAATCATCTCTCTATACTGTTCTGAATCGATTATAATCTTATCACGTTAGCTCTTAATCAAGCTCTTAACCCATATTTTTGTTTCCTTTTTCTATTATTGTATTTTCTCTGGGTATAATGTTACTTTAACATGTCTAACTTAATGCAAAGACTGAATGATAATTACACAAGGCATAAACACTAATATTTATTACGTACTTATCATGCCTTATTTATAATTATGATCTATTGTTATTTTCATCCTCTTTCTTATTATTTAAATTGATTGATATTTCTATATTTGAAAATCCTGTGATAATTGTTTATGTATATTCTTTTGTTTTTGTTTTTTACTTTTTCTGCCTTGTGTGCACTAAGAAGGAATCTTTTAGCGAGCCCATTATCGGTTCGGCCAGGCCCACAACGGGACGGCCAGGTAACGAGAGATGACACTTGATATATCCAGACAGACCAGACCACAAAGTCCCTCAGAGCAAATAAAAAGTTAAAATTATGATCTTTGATTAAAGTATGCAGAGTAAATTTTTACTAATGATTACCTTATGAAGACAGAATCTCCAATTCAATCTTTAAATTCTTTATATGCGATGGATTTGTTAATGCATTCGGAATCACTTAGCAGTGTCTAAAAATTAATAAATAAGTGTGAATTTTTTCAGTAAATAATAAAATTAATAAAATCACTTATAAAAATGTAAAACTAACCTCTCTGTAATGATCGAAAGACCATTTGCAAATACTTAAGATTAATAGTTGAGATTTTTCATACATGAGAAATATCTCTCATCTAGAACCGTGTTTTTATATATTCTAACAGTGATTCTCCTGCCCCTAATATTAAATTTTGAACTGTTTAACACTATGAAAACACAAAAAGATACATGATCTGAGAACAATATATTTGAATGAAAGTCCTCTGTCAATTTTTGAAAGAATATCGCCCCGGTGTTGTTTTAGGTGGCTTCCATTTTACAGAAAAGTTTTGTACCACGCTTTTGTCCTCTTGGCATCTGTTCCGATCTTTGTGGTAAACACGGCGTAAGTTGTTTTACACCAAAGCTTTAAATTTAAACTAGGCAAACTACAAGAGAATCTGCTTGGAATTTGACGCCATTTTGGGGGGACAGCTAATAGCGCGCCTCTTGGTGACTAAAACGTATTCTAAAATATGTTCGCGGTAATTGTAAGTTCTGAAAAATAATAAATACTTCACTGGTTTAAAAATTTATGATTAGCCAAATTTTTTTTCAGCATTCACAATTACGGTGTTTGTTATTATAATTATATATTTAAATTAGTTTTTATCAATCGAAACCATTTGTTACTAATTACGAACAAAACAAAACACTCTAACACAACTGGCAATGCATCTTTAACATTATCACACCGCAAATACATTTTTATGCTGTTTGACAATTCTTTTTCTAATTGTCACCAAACAATTGTTATGAAGTTCTGCCTTTTGTAATACTTGTATTGGGGCAGGACATTCATTTGTATCATATGACATCACTTCCGTTTTCCAAATATTTTTCTAGTAACTTACTTGAATATGATCCGGACGATACAAGAACAAGTATTTCACAATTACAAAATTAAAAGGAAAATATCCTTTGTTGTACGAGTGGTTTAACACCTCCATAAACTGTAATGACGAACCTGAAAAGAAAAAAATTTCTATATAAAAACCTTTTATTTGTATCGAATTTTGATACAAAATACCTATATAGATAGATTATAAATAGGTTACTGAATAGACAGGTTTCATTATTTTTAATAAAAATTCTTTTGACAATTTCACAAATATAAATTACAGTTCGGTATTTTTAATATTTTCTGACTGACAGTAAAAAAATCTTTGGCCTTATTTGTTATTTAATATATAGTAATAATGTTCCTTCTGCTCGTTACTTGTAAATCTTCAGAACATTTTATTCGTTACAGTCTGAAAATTTAGATTTCTGATGTTGGCACCAGAGAAAGTATTTAATGTCATTCGTTTGTTCACTTTTTGCCCACAGTTGATAGAAAATGCCTAAAATTTCGTTCCTAATTCTAAAATTACTTGTGCCATACGTTTGCTGATTTTATAAGATAAATGTAGTATTGCTTTCTTAAATAATAACGTTTTTATCTGGCGACATATTTCAAACGGACACGAAAATTATGTTATTAAATGATATGGTTATTTAAATAAAAAGCAAATTGCTTGAAAATAAAGCAGCAAATTTACCACGATGATGATAAAATACAACAATGCCCACAAGTGTCCAAGCGGTCTTCGTACTCTGAACATTGGGAGTTCGGTCCTGGGTTCGCGCCTCGCTCGGACAGGCTGGCCACGTGAAGTTTTCTGGGTTTTCTCCACGTCTGTAACGCCGAAATTGGGGCCAATTTTTCTTAAAAAGACTTCTCGGAAGGTATCCCCCTAGGCAGATCGCCCAAGTGTTGCGTTGCCATAATTTAACAGACAACAAACATCTGCATTATCACAGAAATTTTCCGCAGAACAAAGTTACATAGATGAACGGCATGACTCCATTGTTATCAGTATGATGTATACAGGAGCATTAAACTACTGATTTAAAACAGAGAGCATTTAATCTGAACTTTTGTGTATAGTTGATCGGGTCGTCATGCCCTTTCTGTTTCCATATATGCGATCCTCTTTCATCTGACTAACTCTTTTATTGAGATTAAAGAGAGACAGGAGAATGGACGGACGGACAACAGACAGACAAATTGTAGAAACCATTACTTTTCATGTATTTCTACTGCTGAGAAAAAGTACTTTCTTTAATCGTAATTAAAATTTATTCATAAATAAAAGGCAATTTTCTGATTTCCATTATTTATTTTGAAGAAAAATGTTAATATTAAATATTATTTTGAGTGCCCAAATTTATTTAATTTGTAACTGTAAATATAAAAATTGATACCCAACCTTTATTTATTAATATAAGGAAGTCGTTCTTTTGATCTAAAATACAATTATAATACAAAAAACTAAATGTAATAAATCATTCTATATGATTACGTGACCAAACTATCTGGGGGAAAATGTCATTCACCATGAGCATTTGAATGGCTTTGTAAAGTTGGGACGTCACCTTTTGACAGGAAACCGGCTGTCAAACCAGAGTCAATAAGCCGGTGTCTTATTTTCGTAAACAGAACTGTGGCGGCAAAAGAAACAAGGTCAGACATGATTTATTTCTCACATTCCCGGTCGTGGATTGCGAGAGACGTCAGGAGAGCGACAACCTGGTAAATTTTTGCAGTGCTTTTACATCTAGTTAAAAGCGGTAAACGCGAAGGCTTCTTCGAAGGGGTGCAGCAACTGAGACCGTGCGATCCCAGATAAATCTTCTCCGATATAGGAGAAAACAGATCGTCGATAATTTACGGGACAGTCGATAGGTAAGGAACATGCCATACTTCGTGGACAGTAGTCTTTGATAACTCCGAGGCCGAAAACACGACCTTGGCAACAGGTCGAGGACCAATCGGGATTTCGAACGAAGAGGGTATCAAAGCCCGAAATCGCAAGAACTCTGCAAGGATAAAAACGAAATCCTCATTCTTTGGGACCAGTATGGAAATCTACCCACAAGGTAATAGAAAGGTTGCGGCCGACGTTTTCAACGCGAAAACGTGTACGTCGAACGTTCAGCGCCGCTTTCCTAAAGGCCTAGAAGTTTGGCAATGGTGTTTGGAATGTCGAGCATGATTCCATTGACTATCCAAACACCATTGTCAGACTTCTAGGCTTATAGGAAAGCGGCGCTGAACGTCCGACGTACACGTTTTCGCGTTGAAAACGTCGGCCGCACCTTTCTAATAAGTGCATTGGTACACAATGCGAAAATAAAGTACTCGGTAGTGGAAGGAAATATAATACATCTAACCGGAAAAAATCAAAGTAAAATAATTAAGATAAAATTTAAATGAAAACGAAATTTATGGCTAAATATTTAACTAGAGCTAAAAACTATAACTAAATAATTAATACAGAAACTAAGCTAGCAGGACCTGTAAGAAGAAGGTCAGGTAGACACACACTCAAGATACGTATTTTCTGTGGTATTATTTGCAACTATATCCAAAAAATGAAACGTTCAAATGTTTCGTTAATAGTATTTTACACGCGAGAAATATTTTTAGACACGACCGATGATACGAGAATAGAGATAAAACGTTAACTTACCAATCCTGGGTATGAGAATTTGAAATGCGAATTTCCACCCAATCAGAGAATAATAAAATTCGGTGTCTTTAAAACCAATGAGAATTTGCTTTCCTTTAACTAAAAATTTATACACGATATATATTATAAATATAATAGCAAGTATCTTCCACTTGTAATAACTGGCAAGAATTTCGGTAAGAGCTCCTATACTTATTCTAATGCTCTCCATTTAGCATAGAAATTTATAGTTTGGATTCGTTACTGGAAAATGCCTAAATGACTGTGAACCTACTTTCAAGTGCATATGCGATAAGGTTGTTTTATGGATCCTAATTGAAAGGTTACAACTGTAACTTAAATGTGAACTGAATGTTTAAGTGTTTCTTCTAAGCATCACTCAGACTTTCAGCATGATGCTATATAAATTAACTGTTTAAATTACTAGGAATACGCGAAGAAATCTTCTAATATAGAATTTGCTAGAGCAAGGACTGTTCACGATGCAGGATGAATGTTTCGAACTCTGAGTGTAAACATTTAGTTCCTGACAGCCTTAATCTTTTTTTTTTTTTTTTTTTTTTTTATTTTTTNAAACATTTAGTTCCTGACAGCCTTAATCTTTTTTTTTTTTTTCTTCTTTTTTTTTTCTATTTTCTAAAAAAAAATTGTATTATTTATTGCTATTATTAATTGTTTATGTAACTATAACATTTGCAATATCTAAAACATATGTAAACTGGCTGTGCTTACTGCGGAACCAGTTATGTAACGTTGGTTACGATATTAAAAGATTTGTGTGTGTGTGTGTGTGTGTGTGCCTAAATGACTGGGAAACTACCTTAATGATAACAGTCAAACACAGTTGTTTTTTAATATATTTAATATCCTCAGCGTAAACAGGAAATAACGTATATCATACCCGTACTTTTTCCTTATTGTTACAGTTCTGTTTTTTTCATATTACTTGAAAACTCGATGTATCACATGATCAAGTAGGAAGTATTATCTGTTTATATATGTGGGCTTCGATGCCATTTAATTTCGGTAGAAAACTCGATAATATCAGGAGATAAAGGGTGTCATGGGTCGTCATTTAAGAATATTTTACTGGTGATTAATTTAATATTTACCATTTTTTAATCTTCGCCCATCCACAAATAACTAACGAAATAAGGACTTATAAACACATACACACACACACAAATATATATATATTCACGTAATATTTAGTGTAGCACGAACAGGAATATATTCAGTATTAACAAGATAAGATTTTAACATTGGAAATATCTTTAAATGAACAGAGTTTTTAATAATTATTTCATAGAAACTGTAATCGTGTGCAATTGTTATTTATCGTTGTGTGACAGCTTTTTTTTCTTTAAGCGGTGTTATAAAAAACAAAGAGAAAGTATAGCAATTAATAAAGAAATAACGCGAGCCATGATTATTACATAATTGGATTCCGGTGACCTTTAATTCATTCAGTTTGAAGTTTAATAATTCCTCAGCTTTGTCTATTCTCCCTCAAACACACACTAACAATTTATACAGAAAAAGACTTAAGAAATTTATGAATTTACTCACGTTTAATGGATTCCAGTCCTAAAGTGTATAAATAATAAGAGATCACTTTTTCACCTTGTCATGCTTTCCCTCTTTAATAGATAACATCAAGGAAAGTAAAACTACTATTGCACAAATTTCCTTGTTTTTGATGTAATCGATCAAAAATAAGATAAAGTGTTTTGTATTCACTGCTGTTTGCCCGCTACTATATATGAAATTTGATATATTGAAAAAATATATTGTAAATTTAATTACATATCTTCATTTATAAAAACAATAATTAAAAATTGTTCGTGACATTTCGTCATTACATTAGATGACATTCGTCATTTAATTAGAGTATACGTAAACATTTCATAGTATTTTACGTAATACTTAAATTACGAGAGAATTTTTTACAATTTACTATTATAGATTTATAGACTATTGTTAGAAAAATTGCCTTTGACGTGACTGCCAATGTCAATTATTTGCGAACACAAAGACTAGATTTTTATCTTAAAGCAAGTAATTGAATTAAATTTACTCAACTAAAATTAATTTTCGACATATATTAAATTTAACGCAGAAGTTAGATCCATACGGCATTACTTTTTTCAAAAAACAATACTCAATTCTTAAATATAATCGCGTATATACCGAAATTCTGCACAAGAAATAAATTATATGAATAATTACTGTTGCATTGAAACATAATCTATGCTATTGCGACAAATGTTTAATTAACCACATTAAATTATTATATATTTGTGAGCCTGAGGGTGTAAATTTTTGAGTTTAAGGTGTTAATGACCTTTCTTGAAGGAAGTGTAG